GTAAACCAGGGAAAAATACAATCTTTTTTTTTTTTGTAGTTGGCCTCCCCACCTAAGTCTCCCTGCAGCCCATACATTTTGTGTACTCATGTGATTGTAGGTACATGTATACTCATATGCATGAAGATACATATGTGTTTGTGTGTACATAGATAAATGTGTATCCATGTGAGTGCATATAGGTACATGTGTGTGAGTGGGCTTATAGGTATATGTGTGTTCATGTGTATGTAGGTACATATATGTGAGTAGACTTGTAGGTACATATGTGTTCATGTGCATGTAGGTAAATGTGTATGCATGTGAGTGCATGTAGGTACGCTGTGTGAGTGAACATGAAGGTACAAGTACTTGCGCGTGACTTATACATTATTTTTTCACCTGGGAGTTCCCTTTCTCTCCCCCTCTTCTCCCTCACCTTCTTTGCTAATCATCTGGGATGCCCAGAGCTTCCCGTCCAAATCTCTGGGATCCTGGAAGCTACACCTGCCAATCTGTAGCTACAGCTGCTACTGAACAGGCTCTCTCACACGGAGAGCTATCTGGAGCCTCCTAGAGATCTCCACCTCAACAAACTGCAAACAGTTTCGAGGCCTGTGCGCCGCCCCAACAATAGCCAGACTAGCTGCCAGCTGCACTGCATCAGCCTGCAGGTTAATTGGCGCATGTGACAGAGACAGAGAGCCAACGGTGCCCCATTACATCAAACTGCTTATGGTCAGACTCTATTGTGCTCCCTAACCACTCTCATATTCTTCTGAAGCTTCCCAGAGACACGAAAAGGATCCAGGCCTAAGAGGAGGGACAGCTTCCCATTAGCCACCCATGTAGCAGGCTGCTTTTCTTCCTGGTCCTCCGCTCCTTCCTCCCCGAGGCAGACACAGTCATCACCCACTTCTGTGGCCTTGAAGGCATCCGCAGATGAACCAACCCCTCTGTCTTTTCATCGTCTGTTAGATCTGCATCCTTTTAGTTTCTGGTTTCTATTTGTGCAAATATTGGCTCCTGGTTTCTGAAAAGATTTGGCGAAGGCTTTTGTTTGCTTGCTTGCTTTTTTATTTCAAGCACATTTAGAGTCTCTGAAGTCTCCTGAAATAATTCCCAGCCCGCTGATTCTAATACACAGTCCATCATATTCTAACATTGACTGCCCAGGTGCAAATCCATATTCCCTTCAGACTTAAGAGCAAATTTCCCCTGAGTAATGCCTGCCCTGCTATTTTATTCCAGGTAATATTGATCTCCCCGCTCTCCTCCAAGGCCCCTTGCAGTGTGCCAATAATTTTGTTATAGAAGCCTTTTATTAATGGACTCCCACAGCTTAATTTTGTTTAGGTAAGTTTTTTTTTAAAGGCAGAATAAAAAGAGCAACAGTTGACAGAATGTTATATGCTCCAAAACTCGGGGCACCTGTGAAGTGGTTTGTGGGAGTTGGAGTGTCAGTGTGAGTAGGCAGGGATGTTATAAACAAAACTTCTACCAGCTGCCACAGCACTCTGAGTCATCTGGAACAGGAGGATGTCCCACTAAGCTGCAGATTTTGATTATACCCAGAGTTGAGTGGCACCAAGCCCAGAAGTAACTGACACATCAAGACCTAAGCCAACCATACCCCTCTTAGCTGGCTGTCCCCATGATGCCGAGATACCCAAACTGCACAGGGAGTTTTGACATGTCTGATGTGAGAAGGACTGTGTTTCATCCCCAAATCAGCCGCTACACAGTGATTAACTCAGACCCAGAGAGGAGCTGGTTTTCCCAGGCTGACCTAGGTCTCTGAGAGGCTGTTAGCTGTTCCTCAGAGCAAAGTTAATCAGAGTGAAAATCATGACAGGAAAGATCTTACCCACAATCCCAGTGACCTGACCGCAGGGGAGACTGCCACTGAAACTCCCTGAGAGGAGGTCAGCAACGAGACCCAGAGCAGAGCCTTGCAGAGCCCCACACCTGCCCCAGACCTGGGCTTTCCAGCCATGGCGGTAGGGCCTCCGTTGCCACAGACTCAGGTTACATCACACTCTAGAATGACTGTGGTTAGGTAGAAATGACTGCTCACCAAGCAGAACCGTCTTCAAGTCTACTGTTATCCTGACACTGTAGATCTAACCTGGCCAGTTCTAAGGTTCAGTAGAGAACATAAGACGATTAAAGCCACTGAATGGACTCCCTAAACATCTACCCTGTTAGCCTGTGGTCATACCAGAAACTGAGGAACAGTTAGTATTAGGGTTGTTAAAGACAAATCACTCCTAAAGATGATTAGATATTTGGATAGGTGAGAAGATGGTTGCTTGGACGGATGAGATGAATGGATGATTGGTTGATGGTTGGCGAGGTGGGCAGATGGTTGAATAGGTAGGTAGGTGGGTGGATGAATGAATGGTTGTTTAAAAGATGGGTGGGTGGGTAGATGGATGGATGGATGGATGGATGGATGGATGGATGGATGGGTAAATGGATGGATGGATAGATGGATGGATGGGTGGGTGGGTGGGTGGGTAAATGGATGGATGGATGGAATAGATGGATGGATGGATGGATGGATGGATGGATGGATGGATGGATGGATGGATGGATGGGTGGGTGGATAGATTAGACAGGTGGGTAGGTGGATATATATGTATTGATGGGTATATAGACAAATGGTCAATAAGGTAGATGAGGAGAGATAAAGGGACAGATAGGTAGATAAAGGAATGAAAATTGGAAGACTGAAGAAGAATCAGACATAAATTCCAGAAAATGTAGAATAAGAAAATCAGAACACAGGGACTGGAGGTGTTGTTTATTAGTAGCTGTTTGCCTTGACTGCGCAAGGATCCCAGTACTAAAAACAGAGGGTGGGGCAGAGGTCGTACATTGTTAATAGGAGAAGGATGGAAACAGGAGGGCAGAGCTGGGGCTGTGAGAGACCATGAGACAGAGCATGGTCTGGAGAGAGGAGGCCTGACAGAACCGCGGTGCTGGTGAGGAAAGACAGAGAGCAGAAAATCCTGGGAAAGGCAAAAGAACGCTGCTCATCTTGGTAATTTCGGCAAAGTGTCTTTTGTAGTCAGAACCCTTGAGGCAGGCGCGGCCTTCCATCATCGAAGGACATCGTTTCATGTGTCCATCGGTTCAACCGCTCCACCAATTCCTTCCCTTCACCAACACACAGAATGCGTGGAAAAGAAACCGGAAAGCTGCCTTCTGGTCAGAAGTGTTAGTGTTGTGCCCATGAGCAGACTCAAAGAGACCCCGGCTTCCTCATGGGCTGTATAGAGTGGAAGCCTTTGCCCCCATCACCTGGAAGATCTACAACAGCTGAACTTATAAATAGCCTTTGACTCCACTGGCACATAGGACTTGTCTTTTCCGGCCACTCCTTTGGTCTTTCACTGAAACCATCAACGGTCTACTAAAGATCAGGAAAAGGAAACGTATTTCAAACCTCCTACCATTGTGCTCCTTGTTGACAGTGGAACACTTAGTAAAAAGGTTAAAGGGCTAGCTACAATGGTGTCGAGGGTCAAGTATGAACTTCCTTCTTTGAGCGGGGACCGTCAAGGAGATGGGGATACAGCTCAGTTGACAGAGAACTTGTCTGGTATGTACAGAGACCTGGATTCTATCCCCCACTACTGCATGAAACAAGACATAGTGATGTACTGTGTACTAAGGAATTGTACGCAGAAGGACCTTACGTTCAGGATTGTCTTTGGTTATATAGCAAGTCTGAGCCAACCTGGACTACGTAAGACCCTGGATCAGAAAACGAAAGAAGCCAAGAGTTATTGAATAAAACTCTCCTGAAACTAGAAAAGCCCTACGTATCTCTGCTTTCAATAATTCTGTGTGTAATAGGCTGGATCTGGATCACACCATTGAGCTAATTCCTTCCTCCAGCTGTTTCCAGTGTATTAAACCACCTTCCACATCGTCTACATCGGTACCCTATGCTGTTGTGCTCCTTAGTCTTAAATATTAACTTGGAAAGAATGTTTCAATTGAGGAATTGTCTAGATCAGATCGGCATGTCTGTGGGAATGTCTAGAGAGACGGTAGGTTGTCTTGGTTGTCAATTGATGCAGAAGAGCCCTACCTACTGTGGGTAGCGCCATTCCCTAGTTTGGGGGTGTTCACGAGCTGGCAAGGACTAGTTGAGTACTAAGCAAGTGGGCAAAACTGGGTGCGTTCATTTCTCTCTTCTCTTGACTGTGGATGTGATGTGGCTAGCTTCTGGAGTTCCTGCCAAGGTTTTCCTGAAATGACGGCCTGTAGCCTAGATTCCTTCAGCCTCAGCTGATAATCAGAGAACTCTTGGAGTCTACAGAAGAAACTTTGGGGCCCGCCTCCCTTTGTTCTAGAGCTCACGAGATTGAAATGATGACTGGCTATGTTAAAACTAGATCTGTGTTTGCTCCTCTTCTACCATACCGCACTGCAGTATTAGGTGGGGATCAATACGCCTGGCTGGAGGGCTTGTAGGTAGCCCCAGAAATGGCAGAAGCTTCAATACCAAGTCAAAAAAGGTGGGAGCACTAAGTGAAATCCAGAGTTACATTCAAAATGAAGAATTCAAACGCCAACTCAGCTATAGCAGCACAACGCTATGGTTCCCCCTAATCATGTTCTGTGGGGAGAGAGGGAGGGTAAATGTGGGTGTGCAGGTGGATGGATGCAAGCATGCAAGTATGAATGTATGTGTGTGTACACGCATGTGGAAGCTAGAGGTCAAACCAACGGCATCCTTTAGAGCTATCCAATTTGTTTTTTGAAAGATGGTCTCTCACGGGGACCCAGGGCTCAGCAATTAAGCTAGGCTGGCTGGTCACCAGCCCCACTGACCCTCCCGTCTCTGCCTCCCCAGTGACAGGGTTACAAGTGCACACCGCTATGCACAGCTTTCTCACATGGGTTCTGTGGAGCAAACTCGACTCCTCAGAGTGGCAAGCACCTTCCCTACCCAGCTACCTCCCTAGCTTACCCACAAATCACCTTTCTAATAAACAGGTTCAGAACATATTTATAGTTGGATTTCATTCCAATAAATGGACCATGGGGAAGGTTCTCGAAAGATCTGTTACCAAGATTCCATCTTCTGGGGATAAAGTCAAAGTGCACTGACCCTGATTCTCAGCTCTAACAGTCTTGCGAGAGTCCCCCACAGGGAAAGGGCACCTCTGCCCACAGTCAGGTCAGACAGCATTTAGTTGGCCTTTCCCACGCTGTTTTCTTGCCCCCGAGCGGCAAACATGACATTCGTGTTCCTCCTCTCCAGCACAGTTCTTTCTGTTGAGGCCCCTCTGCTCCGCTTCATCTCCTTGGTTGCCATTTGTGGCCGAAGAAGGAAATGTGCCTGAGAGGGAGAGTCTCCGCCTTGGTGCTATTAGTCTTCCAGTCTTCTGATCCAAACAAATGTTGTGCTCGGTGAGAAGATGAAAGCTGGGCTTCTGAGCATGGGAGACAAGCCAAACCCAAACACTAAACCGGCACAAGCAGGTGTCTGGCTTGTCTCATCTGAGCTCTGTCATACCTCTATTTAGAGATTTGGGGAACTGTGCTCACCCCCACCTGCCTACGAAGTCCACTTTAAGAGCATTAAGAAAACCCATGAATAGGTAAGGGAGACCCCATGTCACAACTGAAGCTCAAGGCTTTCTGTTTTCAAGCAAGGAAAGGAGTAAAACACAGCAAAGATCTCTGCCACACTTGTTTAACAACCACATCAGAGAGCGACGGTCCTAACAGCCAACTGTGTTTGATCTGAAGGTGCCAACTCGACAGAATAGCACCCTGGACCATCTCCACTTCCTCCAAACATCGCTTCTCCTTTTAAACAGCACAGAGTGGTCCAATCACATTGTTTCAGCTTCAGATGCCTCGACACTTGGGTTTTCTAAACAGTGGTAAGAAAAAGTAAAAATGACTGAAGAATAAATCAATAAAATGAGACTTAAACATGTTGAAATATTATCAAAGAAATGGAACATTTTGATATATATTTCCATATGAAGGAAATTTGAATAATTACAGACTAGTATTAAACAGTATAAACCAAGACTGGAGAGATAGTCCACTTGGCAAAGTGCTTGTCTAGCGAGCACAAGGGTCCATGTTATAAACGAGACTGTTTTTTGTTTTTGTTTTTTTTTGTTTTTTAAAAAAAAGGAAAACCCAGGCTTAGTAACTCACTCTCGTGATGCCCTCGCTGGAAAGGCAGAAACAGGCAGATCCCTGGCATTGGTTGGCCAGCCAGATTGGCCCACTTGGCAAGTTCCAGGCTAGGAAGAGAGATCTTGACTCAAACACAAGGAGGATGGTTCCATTTGAGGAAATAACATTTGAGGTTGCACTCTGACCTACGCACACACATACATTCACAGCATACCCACAAAGACATGTGCACACACTCATTTACACACACAAATGTTTTTAAACATTTTTTTAAACAGACACCAGGCCAGTGAGTGTGTAAATGTGACAAATCTGAGTGTGATTACAGGATCCAATAGTGGAGCAAGAGAACCAATTCTCAGATGTTGTCTTCTGGCCTGCACAAACACACCACGGTGTGTACACATTCATATTGACACACATACCCCATCCCTTTTTTCCTCCCTCCCTTCCTTACCCTCTCACCCTGTCTCTCATTAAAAAAAAAAACCCACAATAGAAAAGGTCACACAAGTGTATTTTCACAATGTATCAGAATATTTAAGTCCACAGAGAAAGAAGGTGGCTATCAGAGGCTGTGGGATGATAAGAATTCCTTATTATTGGATATAGACTTTATTTGGGGCTGATGAAAGCATTCTGGATGCAGATGGAAGACACACATTGCAGTTATACTAACCACCACTGAATCGTATGCTCTTGTTTTGTGCGCATGGACTTAGATGATTTTTAAACAAACGTAAAGTAGGGCTGAAGAGATGACTCAGCAGTTAAGAGCACACACTGCTGTTACAGAGGAATAGAGTTCAGATTCCAACACCCAAACTAAGTGGCTCTCAACCACTTATAAGTTCAGCTCCAGCGGACCTGACACCCTCTTCTGGTCTCCACAGGTACTGCATTCATGTGCACATAATCACACACACACACACACACACACACACACACATACACATACACACAGTTAAAACAGGGTATTTTAAAATGTAAAAGCACCCTTTACCCTGCAGTGTTGCGTGTGCAACTGGAAATAATACTAGTGTGCTTGTTTTATTGTTGTACATGCTTAATGTAAATTTTAACTGTACACAAGGTATGAAAGGCATTATCTACTTGTCTATCTGTATACAGGTTCCTGAAATGGTACAAGGTAAAAGTAACAGAAGTTGGACTGGCAAATGATTTATAAGGTAAAGGTCCTTGCAGCCAAGACTGACAAAATGAGTTTGAGCTCCAGAACCCACACAGTGGAAGGAGAGTACCGACTCCAACAAGTTATCCTCTGACCTCTAATGTAGGTCATGGCACATGTGAGACCTTTGTGCCCCCCCATGCATGTATACACGTACACACATACATCCATAAATAAAAGAAAAAAATAAAAACTTTTGAGTAACAGAAATTTAAACTGTTGTCAAAGAAATAATGGATGCCTAAGGCAATGAATATACGCCAATTATCCTATGAATGTTGTACCTTATACATACAAATTTTTAGAGCCTCATATTGTACCCCATAAAATGTAATTATTCCATGTCAATTAAAAATAAAAGCAAGGGGTTGGGGAAATGACTTGGTAATTAAAGTGTTTTCTGTGCCAATGTGAGGATCTGAGTTTGAATTCTCAGCACCCACATAAAGGCTGGACACTTAGCACATGTCTGTAATCCCAGGGCTTTGACAGCAAGGCAGAAGGCAGAGGTGGGAAATCCCCAACATTCTTAGGCCATTGCACACAGCTGCTAGCAAAAAACTGCTTCAAATAAGATGGAGGGCAACAATAAACACCTGAGACTGTCTTCTGCCCTCCATGTGCACAGTGTGGCACACACATGCATACATACAAACACACACACGTACCATTCGCACACAAGAAGTAAAAATTTTAAAAATAAACATAGAAGGAGGACCAAAACTACATAAAAATAAAATGAGTGTTGAGTCGCAAGCTGCCTCTTTCCCCCACAGAGGAGCTGGGCTGTCAGAGCACACTCAGAATAACCTGTGAAAATTCCCAGAGTCACACTCTAAGAAAAACGAGGCCAGACAAGCTTCTGCAAATGCCTAGCCTGAAACCTCAGATCGTCCAGAGTGGCGAGGTAGTTTGTCTGGGTGGTTTCAACTCTTGACCCAGAATTGAAACTCTCCTGAAAAGACGGGTGTGAGCAGTGAGGTCTTCGAGTCGCTCCTTCCTCTCAGGGAGCCTTTCTCAAGCACTGGCAGGTCAGGTCTGGTTTGTGGGCTAGCCTCAGCCTAAAGACCTACTTTGCGAGACTTGGAAAAGCTGCACGCTTTGTACCTCCTGGAGACAGGCAGGCTGGTGAAACTTTGGGCTGAGAAGAGTAACAGGTTGCCAGAGAGGAAGGAGGATTGTGGGCCGGGCCGTACTATGAGATCTTGCTTAACTTGCTTCTGATCCTTAAGAACTAATGTTCTAACAAGTTCCACCTTCCTGAATACAATCAATTAGGTATCAGAGTCCTAGTGGTCCACTCCCTGGACCCCACTCTTTGGTCCTCCCGGCTTCCCCTTGGCTGTCCAGCCCTCCCCACCATTCTTAAGTTCCTGCCTAAGAAGGAAGGAGTGTGCAGACATCTAGCTGAAGGTCGCTACCTCCATGCCACCCTGTACCTCCGTTTCTATAGATCAGAGGAAAACTTGTCAAAATCAGCTCTTTCCTTCTCCCATGTGAATCCCTGGAGATGAACTTGGGTCATCAGGTTCGGCAGCACACACCTTTACCTTCCAAGCCATCTCCCCGCCTACATCTCCACTTTTGATAGAACCGCTGTCTTTCCCACCCACCTCATGGGCTGGAGCCGCTCAGGGCCGTGCATTGTCTAACACCTGGAGTTAGGAAGTCCAGCTTTGTCGCAGAAGTTGAATGTTTTAGTGCCACCTCTCCAGCTTACCCACTGAGTTTTACGCCTCCTACTGAGAACAGGACCTGGGCGCTGTAACATGGTGTCTGGCTGCCTGTGCTTGGTACATTGCCAGTCCAGAAAGGTCACTACTAAATAACTAAGTGAGTGACATTCAACAATCGGGTTCATGTGAAGCAATGGAAAAGGCATCTAGGGTACAAAATAAGAAGGTCCCTGAGAAAGTTGCTGTGGCAGGTGCCAGACGCTAGACACCACATTGTGTCACAGTCTTCGGGAGACCAGATGTGAGAGAAAAACTCAGGGGAGGCTGAGACTGGCAGAGACAGAGAAGGTGGACGGGGTCAGGGAACAGGCTGCGAGGGGTCATGCAGAACAGAGAGGCTGCTATAATTCATGAGGATGACTTATTTATCATTCAAGTTTGGATTTTCCTTTCCCCGAGTCCTCTGGGAAGTTGGACTTCCTTTGTTAGGGTCAAAGCCTGGGCCCCAACAAACTATGTTCAGTCAGCCATCTTCAGTACATGGCCTCCAGACACATGTATGCACATATGCACACACACACACACACACACACACACACACACACATGCACACAAAGCTAAATAAGCAGGAATTCTGCTGGCATCATAGCTTTGTTCCATGAGTTTTGTTTCAGCATCTTGGCACAGTTTCTAGATTCAGCACTTGCTGTAGGACAATGGTTTTACCCTGTAAAGATTTGTTTCTTGTACTTGTTTAGTAAAATGGTGAATGGCCAGTAGCCAGGTAGGAAGTAGAGGCTGGGCAACTAGGCAGGAAGTAGAGGCGGGACAAGGAAAACAGGAAAATTCTGGGAAGAGAAAAGATTCAGTCTGCAGTCGTCACCTAGGCACAGAGGAAGCAAGATGAGAATCCCTCCCTGACAAAGGTACCAAGTCACAGGGCTAACACAAACAAGAATAATGGGTTAATGTAAGATGTGAGAATTAGTTAATAAAAAGCCTGAGCTAGTAGACCAACCAGTTTATGATTAATGTAGACCTCTGTGTGTTTCACTGGGGACCAGGTGGGACAGAAACCTCAGACAACAAGCGCTGATGTTTTGCTAGCTGGGTGAGCTCCCTGCAGTGTGCCCACAGCAACAAGACTCAAACACCATAGAGACGTCCCAGAAAGAATTCCCTTAATCCTTCTGAGAACGCTCACTGTGCTGTCGTCAATGAAGCCCTACCAGCTGGCCCAGGACGTTCTAACACTGATTAGAAATCCAAGTCTCTCAGACGGCCACAGGATATCCTACAGGAGTTCTGGTGAGGATCCATTGGGGATGGTGTACCAAAGACCAGAGGCCTTGCACCAGACCAGTGGCTCATCGCACTGAACGTTTGCTAGGAAAGCTCATAGGACAAAAGGCTGTGCTATATGACACATCGAGGCCCCCAGTGCCACCAGGACGAATGAAGAGGTGTTGGAGAGGCAGGAAAGAAGAAGCAAAGAGGTGTGCTTTTGTTGTTTTTGTTTTTGTTTATTTGCTTGCTTGCTTGTTTTGTTTTCTTTTGGGGGCACACTGGAGGGGTGAGGAGAGGATATGGGGGGACAGGTAGGTGAGCAGAATCGGGATGCATGATGTGAAACTCTCAAAGAATGAATAAAGAAGTTAAAATTTTAAGAAAGAAAGAAAGAAAAGAAAGAAAGAAAAAGAAAAAAGAAAAAAATCCAGGTCCCTGCATTTTCTTCAGTGGTGTAGCTGTGGTAAGTTGTCTATGATCCTATAACTCCCCACTAAACTCCTATAAGTGACCTCTCACCTACACCCCGTAAGTAGCCCCTCATCCACGATACTATAAGGAACCCCTCACCCATGTATGATCTTATAAGAAACCTTGACCAAACTTTGTTGATTAAAAAGAAAATTAGACATAAAACCCAAAGGGGGACAAGTTGGTTAAAAAAAGAAGAAGAAGAAAAGAAAAAGAAAACAGTAAGATTGGAGCGGATGGGAGAGAACAATGGGCAAATATAATCAAAGTACATGCATTATGAAAATGTCATAATGAAACCATTATTATACATAATTAATACATGCTCATCAAAAAACTTTTTTTTAAAAAAAGATAGAAGTGTCTGGACCTAGTTCTACTTTAAACTGTTCGATCCAAGAGGGACAATCGAGTTTGCTGTCTATTCTCATAAATCATCCTCTTTTCCAGATCACTCCCTGTGTCTCCTGAGTCATAACCAGTGGGGAACATATTCATTCATAAACAGATTATGAAAATTCAACAGTTTAAAATTTAACAGGCCAGCCCACAGACTTGTCAGAGATGAACGATGCTCAGGGGACATAAAACCATAGCAGGCTCACAGTGAAGGAGACAGACACGCAGGAGCTCTGCTTCCCAGCCTCCCTGGCAAGATGGTGACAGTTTCCTTCAGAAACTCCTTTAGAGAGCAGAGACTGGGGCTGAGGAAGGTGACTCAGTGGGCAAAGCACTTGGCACATAAGCAAAAGGATCTAAGTTCCATCCCTGAGGCCCATGTAGAAAGCAATGCATGGCATGTACTTGCAATCCCCAGAACAGGAGAAGAGCTGAGACAGGTGGATATCTGGAACCAGCCTGCGGGCCACCCTAGCCTATTTGATGAACTCAGGTTCAGTGAGAGACCCTGTCTCAAACAAACAAGATGGATAGTACCCAAGGAACGCTGAGGTTGTCTCCTGGCCTCTATATACATGCTCAAATATGCATGTACAGGCACATGCACACACATGCACACACACCAAGGAAAGAACAAACGGTACTCTATTTTAACAAGAAGTCACTATATCTACTGATGCCATCCACATCTGGATCCTGACTGAGGATGGGCTCCAGGTTACACAGCAAAGCACCTCATGCCGAGGGACTGTGCAGCCGCCTCCGGGGCCACGCTAAGTTCAGCCGTCACTTTCACAAGCGAAACTACCAAAGGCAAACAACGTTACCAGCAGATGACATAGCACATCTCCGTGTGCAGTCTGTGGACAGAGCGGTGTTGTTTCGCTGCCCTCCGGGTTGCTTTGACGCCTGTCTGTTTCCTGTCTGAATCTCCTATGCAAAACCTGACCTTAAATTGGGCTGGCTGGTGCCAGCTTAGAGCTTTGAGGTTTTTCTCAAGTATTGACTACCACGTTTGAAAGGCTGGGGCAAAGAAAACAGGATGTATCTAGCTGAGTTTCATGGGTGCTTGAAATGTGTGTCATGAGGTCTTCTGTGGGGGCTAACAGCGTGGTTGGTACAAGATTCTCCACAGGTGACCTTTCTTTAACTACAGTCAAATGTGTGACTTCCCTATAACTGGTCCTCACCTTTAAAGATGTCTCCCAGCTTCAGGCCTGCGTTCTCCATCTTCATGGAACACCCAAAACCATGCCGCCCAGGGAATGTGTTTATGAAATCATCTGACTAGGCACCCCAAGCCATGGCTCTGAGCCTAGCTGCCAGCAGTCCACACACAAAGGGAAGCAGCTCTCCCCTCTCTCCCTCCTTCCATCCCTCTTTCTGTACAGTCTCTTTCTCCCTTCCTTGCTTGCTTGCTTTTGAGTTTGTATGTGTGTATACAAGTTCACGTGTGTCCACATGAGCATACACGTATGTGGAGGCCGAAAGTCAGTGCCAGGTGTCTCAATCACTTTCGACCTTAATTTTTTTAACAGGGTATTTCACTGAACTTGGGGCTGCTGGTTTAGGTTTGGACAGACTGACTAGCCAAGGCTCCAGGCATTGTCCTACCTCCAGCTTTACAGTGCTGGGATCACAGCCATGGTGAACATCAGGACCCCATCTTTTTTGTTTTAACATGAGTGTTGACATGTTGGCCCCGGCACGCATGCTTGTGTGGGTAGCACTTTACTGACTGAGCACACGCCTCTTCTTCTTCTTTTTTTTAAATTTCATGAAACCAACAAGGGTTATTAATTTCTTTGGAAAACAGGGACTCATTTGTAGGAAGATAAGGCCTACAAGGCCAAGAGACCAACCTGGAGTCTGCCTGAGGGACTAGCAACAGACGCTGTCAGAGGCCCTAATCTTGTCTAGTCAATGAGGGGCAACCACACAAAATCAACCCATCTGAACGCAGTCTGGGTGCTGGGAGGAGGGCATAGAAGGCTCTCCCCATTGCTGAACAAACGAGTCTGCTGTTTGCCTTTTACCTGACTTCTGGTGTCTAAGCCACCGATGCAGGCGCCTTCTCACCCCCTCCCCTGAGGGAGCCCTTAGGATCCAGCAACACACATTGATTGCTGATAAACAGACATTTATGTTCTCCCATTCAGTTTTTAAAAAATATAATCTCCCTGTATTTCTCAGTTATTTGTTGCAGAAATCACTCAGGAAAGCAAATGATCCTACGGCCATGCCACTGTGTGTCTGATCTGTATTTTCAGAAACTCGAGGAGCCCCTTTGGGTCCCCCTCTGCGTAGGATCAGGCTGAGCTTTGAAAGGCAGAGTTATTTACAGTCTAAGGGAACATATCTCAAAGTTGCAAAGCGTGCAACTAAAGCAGCAAGTATAAATGTCAGCATTTCATCAGGTATAACAAGTCATGGTGGGGGCTGTGAACCATGCACGAGGGAGGAGAGGAAGACATGGGGATCCCCAGGCTCTGGATTTGGACTGTCTGAGGCTGGTACTTTCAGTGCCCTCCTGGTGAAACCCAGCTGCCCACACGGCGTCAGAACAGATTCGACAAAGGTTTACCAGCTATTTTGGGGAACTTCTGTGGCCACAATAGTTGTCTGAAAACATGGGCCTGCGGTTTGTCACACCATACCAGGAGACCCAGAGTCAGAACTTCTCAGGGAATGAACAGTATTGGCTGGCGGTCTGTAGAAGAGGGGGATTTCCACTCCTGGGGCTGAATGATGACACTCCATGCTGCTCAGGAGCCCTAAGGGGTTCCCTTATGGTCTTGTAAAGGCAACATCACGGCAGCATCTGTGCATCTCAATCTCCTGAAGGAAGATGAAATAGTACAGAAGGGAAAGAAGAGAAAACGGCTCCTGCCTGCAAGTCTTACCATCTAACTCACTTACCTGAGCGACCATGGCCTCATCTTTAAAACAGGGCTGGTAATCTCCGCCTAGATGGGTTTCAGGAAGAGAATGTATTCAAGGGTACTTCTGAAAGATTTAAAAAGCATCAAATAAATAAAATATGTTAACACAGTGTTCATTCATGACACTAGCTGGTCACCATGAATGCAACTGATAAAGTCATTTCTGAACATTTGCTAACCCTGTAAAAATTTCAAGCAAATAAAAAGTCCACAGACTGGGGAAATGGCTTAGTAGAATAGAGCTCCCTGTGTAAGCCTGAGGGCCTGAGTTCAATCCCAGGAATCAAGACAAAAAAAAAAATCTTAGTGTGGTTATTGCATGTGTGTAATCCCAGTGCTGAGAGAAGACAGACACATTGCACTACCCACACACTCTTCATTAGCCAGTTCTATGCGTCAAAGTCAGATCTTCACATAAACGGAACTACTACCTTTATAGGTTCCATTATCCCTATGTGGTAGGAAGGTAACTCTAACTTGAGGCTTCTTTCCTACCTCCCAGTTCCTGAACAACCACTCTGAGGTTTAATATTAATTACAAGCTGTTTGGCCTATTAGCGCAAGCTTATTATTAACTAGCTCTTGCAACTTAAATTAACCCATTTCTATTATTCTATATTTTACCACAAGGTTTGTGGCTTGCTTGCTATCTCACATCTTGCTTCCCCGGCTGCTGCTGATGTCTCCCTGATTCTGCTTTCTTTCTCCCCATCTCTCTGCTTGGATTTCCTGCCTGGCTCTATTCTGCCTAGCTATTGGCCAAATCAGCTTCTTTATTAATCAATGGTGATAAGACATATTCATACCATACAGAAGGGCACCTCACATCAAGCAACAGATCCAAACAAGATCAGGAATTGTTTCCCATCCCAGTGTTACTGTGAGCCTGGCGGCACCAGGGCCTGTCTTCTCTCTGTTCTGAGAGCCCTCTCTGCAACAACAGCAAAAGATAACACAGATGTTGATCACATCCTCAAATGTAGAAGAACTGAATCCATGCCTAAAGCCTTCCAAGAAGAGTGGGGGTAACAGCTCATTAAGTAAAACCCTTGCTGTTCAAGCCTAAGAAGCCAGGTTCAAGCCCCAGGACCCATTTTAAGAGCCAGGCATAATGGCATGCGTTTATAACTCGGGCACCTGGAAGGTGGCCATAAGGGGATCCTGGAGCTCCCTCCAGCCACCTAGCCAAGCAGCAAGGCAAGTGGCAGCTGAGGAATGACACGAGGTTTACTTCTACTGCTGCCCACCCCCAGCAAACCCAAGCTTTCTGAGGCCAAGGTTAACCCTTTATCTTACCCCCAGGTCCTCTGTGCTTCAAGTCCACCCTGAATCTCCAGAAAAGACATAAATACTTGAAGAACAGAAATGGATATTAACCCCCTTTTCTCAATTAATTAACTCTAAATTAATAATCATGGCATTAACTTGTCTTTCTAAAAATTATATGTACTTATTTATCTGTGTTTGTATGGGAGGGGTATAGTCAGGGGCTTGGCACAGCATGTGTGTGGATGCCTGCTGGGACATCTCATAGTCCCTAACTATCTATGCAGAAAGCATGTCAGGGTGAGCAAGAGTTGCCCTCTCCAGGACAAAGTCAGTCCACACTGACATCAGAGGGGCAGGAACCCTCTGGTTCCCCAAGGCCTAAGGCACAAACATTTGTCTTTGCTGAAGCTTCTCTCTGCAGGGAGGTCTTAAGGATACACATTCATCTTTGCCCCAAGCAGCCGACTTAGCTGACCGCTCCAACACACTGGCCCACAATTAGTCTCACACCCTGGAAATAAATTATGGAATTGTATATACACATGTGTTCAGGTATACATGGGCAGGCGTATGTACATGTTCATGTAGGTGTTATGTGGGCACATATGTGTGCATGCATTTGTAGGCTTGCATGTAGAGGTTAAAGGTCAACCTGAGGTTTCATTTCTCAAGAGCTGCCTACCTTGAGATTTTTTAATTAAATCTTCAGGTTCTTTTATTTTTTAAAATAAATCTTGGTATTCCTTTATTGAAGTGATTCCTGACTTTTGTATATTGATGTATCTAGTAGTTAGAGACCTGTGCAGAAACTGCATCCAGACAGATATTCATTAAAATTGGCCAATTCCACCTAGTTTCTTGAGACAGAATCTCTCACTGGGAACCCCAAGTATATTATGTTGACTGGTCAGTGACTCCAATGAGCCCATTTGTCAGCCTCCCCTGTAGTGGGATTATAAGCACACACCATCATGCCTAGCTTTATGAACGGGTGCTGACTGAATTGCAAACACAGGTTGTCATTCTTGGATGGCAAGTGCATTATCAAATGAGTTAACTTTCTCAGTCCTCAGTGATAGAATTTGTATTGAGCAGATCTTAGTGGCTCACAACCTGGAAGAAGTTGCTACTGCAGACGTCCCTAGATCCCATGTAGAATGTCCTGCATGTGGAGTCAAGTCTCAACCTGAAGATTTACCCAGCGTTCCCAGAGTGGGACCTCCCCAAATGTGTCAAAAGGAGGAAGCATCCTTACCTGCCCATGAGTGTGCACTTGATGGCCCTGATCATTTCCAAATCATTTCACACCTCCACTCATGTAATGGTTGATTTTCCAGGTCATAGATTTCATGGGTTCACTCACCACTTACAGGACAACTATTGATTGTTTAATTGCTAGGTGAATCCCATAGAAACGATAGAAAAATGAGATGCTGAACATTTAGAGTTCAATTGCCTGGTTTATCTTTGAGTCCTCCTGGGGAGCAGTCATTTACTGTTGAAGTTAAATTTAATCCTAGAAAAAAATCTCAATCAAGGGTTGGGGACATGACTAAAGTGACTGCTTAGCTTGCAGAAGCCCCGGGTTCCCTCCTGAGCCATACACAATCACACGCCTGTAATCCCAACATTTGAGATGTAGGGGCTGAAAGATCTGAAGTTCAAAGTCAGTCTGGGATACATAAGGCCTTGTCTCAGAGCGAAAGAGGGAATAATCTCCTTTGATGTTTATTGATCATAATGGAAAATCATTATTATGTACCATTAATGTTA